ATTTTCCGGTCCCAATTCAAGGTACAGGTTATCACCTACAAAGCCCTAAACGGTTTTGGACCCGCCTACCTTCGTGACCGTATCTCTCTCCACCTACCAACCCGGGCCCTTTGATCTTCGGGGGAGGCCCTCCTCTCGCCCCTACCAATCTCACAAGCTCATCTTGTGGGCACAAGCGAAAGAGCCTTCTCCTCTGTGGCCCCCCGACTCTGGAACTCATTATCTGGAGAGATCAGCAAAGTCCCTTCACTAGATACATTCAAAAAGAATCTGAAAACCTGGCTCTTCCACTGCGCCTTTGGCGAGTAGGTGCACAACATGACACTATTGCACCCCTCAACACTTCTGCCACTGGAGTACACGCCCTCCAAATGGGAAGTTTAGCTTCACAACCCTGTGTGTTTTTATGAGCTCCCTGCAAATAACCTTTTTTTAAAAAAATCTCATTAGAGTCTTTTAATTATTTTATCCTGTACATGTGGCCCGCCCACTGCTATCGTGATTTGTGTTTATTGGAATGTTTTTTTTACTGTGTCTATACTTTTTTTTAATGTAATTTTGATTATATTGCTTGTTGTTTATGTTTTGGTTTCATTTTTGCTGTAACATATTGTCTGGACTTGGCCCCATGTAAGCCGCTTTGAGTCCCCATTGGGGAGATGGTGGCGGGGTATAAATAAAGATGATGATGATAATAATAATAATAATTATTATTATTATTATTCTCGGTGGTGGCCCCCCAGCTCTGGAATTCCCTCCCTAGGGAGATCAGACAGGCTCCCACTTTGACCTCCGCAGTTTGGGAGTCCTCTTGGATTCAACGCTCACGGCTCAGGCGTCGGCGGTGTCTGGGAGGGCTTTCGCACAACTGAGACTCGTGCGCCAACTTTGACCGTACCTCGCGAAGGCGGATCTGGCCGGAGTGGTCCATGCCTTGGTCACCTCCAGATTGGATTACTGCAATGCGCTCTACGTGGGGCTGCCCTTGAAGACGGCTCGGAAGCTCCAACTGGTCCAACGATCAGCAGCCAGGATGTTAACTGGGGCCCCTTACAGGGAGAGGTCAACCCTCCTGTTCAAGGAGCTCCACTGGCTGCCGTTTATATTCCGAGCCCAATTTAAGGTGCAGGTGATTACCTACAAAGCCCTGAACGGTTTGGGACCAGCCTACCTGCGTGACCGCATTTCCATCTACGAACCCACACGTTCACTTCGGTCATCAGGGGAGGCCCTGCTCGTGATCCCACCCGCGTCGCAAGCGCGCTTGGTGGGGACGCGTGACAGGGCCTTTTCCGTGGTGGCCCCCCCAACTCTGGAACACCCTCCCCAAAGACCTTAGACAGGCCCCTACATTGGCTGTCTTCAGAAAGAACTTGAAGACCTGGCTTTTCCGATGCGCCTTCCCAGATTAGGAAATCTTCACTACCAAGTCCCATAAGCACTTTATCAGAACCAATGATTGTTGCACATCACACTTGCCCTAGAAGCCCTTTATACACCTCCTGTCACATCAGCACTTTTAATCTTTGTACCCACCTTCTGGCCCGGCCCAGTTTTATTGTGTTTTAGTGTATTGTGCCTGTTGTTTACTTTGCTTTATTCTGTTTTTAATTGTTTGATTTGCTTAGACTGTATTGTTATGTTGTGTGTTGAGGCCTCGGCCTATGTAAGCTGCATCGAATCCTTCGGGAGATGCTAGCGGGGTACAAATAAAGTTTAATAATAATAATAATAATAATTTACAATCAAAGAGCATTCTGAATCCCACAAACGCCAGAATTGGGGCAAATTTCGCACACAGAACCCCCATGACCAACAGAAAATACTTAAGGCCATCCAGTCCAACTCTCTTCACCAGGACAAGGAAATGTAATCAGAGCCCTCCTGACAAAGAGCCATCCAGTTATAAATATAGATAGATAGATATGATTCACACACAGAGAGAGATAGAGTATCATAGATTTGAAAGGGACCCCTAAAGAAGGACTATGATATGTTGCATGTTCCAGGGTGGGGAAACCAGGCACTCCCCACATCAACACTGACAAAGAAACAACAAGAAATACTGTTTACCCACAAGCATAAAGAAATTACATATATTAGAAACCAACACTTTCTCATTACTTGATTTTCCAGATCACCAGACTGGGCCACAGCAACACATGGCAGGGGACGGCTAGTACAATATTATAATTATATATTTTATATTACATGTAATATTACTAATAATATTACAATATAATGGTGTAGTACAATATAGTAATATATAATACTGATATTGTACTATGGTAATAATTTAATATATTGTATGTATATATATCTTGTAAGCCGCTCTGAGTCCCCTTTGGGGTGAGAAGGGCGGCATATAAATGTCATAAATAAATAAATAAATAAATAAAAACTAAAGAGCACCAAGGTAAAGGTAAAGGTTTCCCCTGACATTAGTCATGCCCAAATCTGGGGGGTGGTGCTCATCTCCACTGCTAAGCCGAAGAGCCGGCGTTGTCCGTAGACACCTCCAAGGTCATGTGGCCGGCAGGACTGCATGGAGTGACATTATCTTCCTGCCAAAGCAGTACGTATTGATCTACCCACGTTGAATGTTTTCGAACTGCTAGGTAGGCAGAAGCTGGGGCTAACAGCGGGAGCTCACCCCGCTCCCTGGATTCAAACCGCCAACCTTCTGGTCAGCAAGTTTAGCAGCTCAGCGGTTTAACCTGCTGTGCCAACCACAATGTTAAAAAAATATATATTCTGGCCATGAAAGCCTTTGACACAATTATTATAATTATTATATTATAGAATCATAGAATCCTAGAGTTGGATGAGCCCTTGTGGGCCATCCAGTCCAACCCCATTCTGCCAAGAAGCAGGAAAATTGCATTCAAATCACCCCTGACAGATGGCCATCCAGCCTCTGTTTAAAAGCTTCCAAAGAAGGAGGCTCTACCACACTCCGGGGCAGAGAGTTCCACTGCTGAACAGCTCTCATAGTCAGGAAGTTCTTCCTGATGTTCAGGTGGAATCTCCTCTCTTGTAGTTTGAAGCCATTGTTAAATTAACACTTCTTATAATAATTATATTAAATGAACAATTATTACAATCATTATATTAAATTAAACAAGTATTACAATTATGAAAGCAAGCCTCTTTTACTCCCCTTTGGGGATGTAAAGCGATGTGAACATAAATAATAGAATCATAGAATCAAAGAGTTGGAAGAGACCTCATGGCCATCCAGTCTAACCTCCTGCCAAGAAGCAGGAATATTGCATTCAAATCACCCCTGACAGATGGCCATCCAGCCCCTGTTTAAAAGCTTCCAAAGAAGCTCCAAAGAACTAGGACGGGAAACAATGGCTTCAAACTACAAGAGAGGAGATTCCATCTGAACATGAGGAAGAACTTCCTGACTGTGAGAGCCGTTCAGCAGTGGAACTCTCTGCCCCGGAGTGTTGTGGAGGCTCCTTCTTGGGAAGCTTTTAAGCAGAGGCTGGATGGCCATCTGTCAGGGGTGATTTGAATGCAATATTCCTGCTTCTTGGCAGGGGGTTGGACTGGATGGCCCATGAGGTCTCTTCCAACTCTTTGATTCTTTTATTCTATGATTAAGGAGCCTCCCCCACACTCCGAGGCAGAGAGTTCCACTGCTGAACGGCTCTCACAGTCAGGAAGTTCTTCCTCATGTTCAGATGGAATCTCCTCTCTTGTAGTTTGAAGCCATTGTTCCGTGTCCTAGTCTCCAAGGAAGCAGAAAACAAGCTTGCTCCCTCCTCCCTGTGGCTTCCTCTCACATATTTATACATGGCTATCATATCTCCTCTCAGCCTTCTCTTCAGGCTAAACATGCCCAGTTCCCTAAGCCGCTCCTCATAGGGCTTGTTCTCCAGACCCTTGATCATTTTAGTCGCCCTCCTCTGGACACAAATAAATGTTCCCAAACACGAATCAAGGAACATGAAAAGCACTGCAGACTACTTCAACCAGAGAAATCAGCCATAGCAGAGCACCTGATGAACCAACCTGGACACAGCATATTATTTGAGAACACAGAAATGCTGGACCACTCGCACAACCACCATGTCAGGCTACACAGAGAAGCCATTGAAATCCACAAGCATGTGGACAATTTCAACAGAAAGGAGGAAACCATGAAAATGAACAAAATCCTGGCTACCAGTATTAAAAAAAAACTCTAAAATTAGAACAGCAAAACAACAGAGAGGAAACAATCAGGCATCTAATCACCTCTCAACAAAAGATTCCCAGATTCAGCCCTTCAAATGCTAATGAAGGTGGTCAGTTGAAACATTCACACCTTAGCTCCAGCAGAGAAGAGCTCTTGCCCCACCCCAGTCATTCCACAGATCTATAAACCCATTTTCCTAATTCCAACAGACCTCATTACCTCTGAGGATGCTTGCCATAGATGCAGGCGAAACGTCAGAAGAAAATGCCTCTAGAACATGGCCATATAGCCCGAAAAAACCTACAACAACTGTGGGAGAATCTGACAGATCCCATCCCATGTGTTTTTCACTTGTTGTTGTTCATTCGTTCAGTCGTCTCCGACTCTTCGTGACCTCATGGACCAGCCCACGCCAGAGCTCCCTGTCAGCCGTCACCACCCCCAGCTCCTTCAAGGTCAGTCCAGTCACTTCAAGGATGCCATCCATCCATCTTGCCCTTGGTCGGCCCCTCTTCCTTTTGCCTTCCACTTTCCCCAGCATAATTGTCTTCTCTCGGCTTTGCTGTCTCCTCATGATGTGGCCAAAGGACTTCAACTTTGTCTCTAGTATCCTTCCCTCCAGTGAGCTCTAGGCCTTCAGCAGTTTTGGACTCCCAACTCCTAGAAAACTCAGCAGCTAATGAGGAGGAGGGATTCTGGGGAGTGAAATCCATACACTTTAAAGGCCAGAAATTGGGGAGGAAAGAATGCCACGGAATAAATAACCACAACCACAACGAATTAGTCCTTATCCTTGATTAAAAGGCCTCACCTCTTCTTGGGAACACTGAGCTGCTTAGTGTTGGCCCCTCAATGGACGTAGGAAGGCCTCCTCTTGGTCTCCATCAGCATCTGCAGTGTGTGGATTCGGCTCGCCATGGAAACCGTTGCCTGGCTACCGAGGCGGATGCGGCGCTGGCCCAATCGGAATGCGTTTTCCTCGTGGCTCCTCCCCTTCCCCTTGCGTGTCCTACCTAGCAACCGTAAGGGCGGAGAAATCCGATTGGCTGCGCTGCGCTGCTTTCCCCACCCGCGCGCGCAAAGTGGGCGGGGCCTTGCGGGAGTGGGCGGGGCTTGGCTCCACCACAGGCCGTCCCTCCCTCATTTCTCTGAGGCGGTGGCGAGGAGAAGCACCTGTGCAGCGTGTCTCCCTCAGGTAAGGCCTTTTTGGTAGGCCTCAAAGAGGGGCCGGCATTCAGACATTATTTCAAGGGGATAGACACAGACAGGCATATATATATATATATATATATATATATATATATATATATATATATGATATTCATATATATATAATATTCATATATATATGTTTGTGTGTGTGTGTATATATATATATAGCCTTTAAATGATCCTCACAGCTACTATTACCTATGAAAGGCTATATATATATATATATATATATATATATATATAATACACACACACACAAACATCATATATATATGAATATCATATATATATATATATACACACGTACACACACTTCATATATATGTGTGTGTATATATATTATATATATGTGTGTGTGTGTAATATATATATATATATATATAGCCGTTAAATGATCCTCACAGCTACTATTACCTATGAAAGGCTATATATCATACACACACACACACACACATATAATATACACACACACACACATAGATATGAAGTGTGTGTATGTGTATATATACATATATAGCCTTTAATAGGTAATTGTAGCTGTGAGGATCATTTAAAGGCAATGGCAAGATATATATCTATGTATATGTGTGTGTTATAGTAGTAATTTATCACACACACACACACACATATATATATGAAGTGTGTGTATGTGTATATATGCATATATAATCTTTCATAGGTAATAGTAGCTGTGAGGATCATTTAAAGGCAATGGCAAGATATATATAGATATATATAGATATATCTGTGTTATAGTAGTAATTTATATTTTATTTATATTCATTTATATTTTATGTAATTATATATATAGGTATATTTACTAGAGATTGAATAGTAATCTTTTGTATTTCTATAAATATATGAATGTATTTACATTTATCATATAAATATATGTGTGCTTGTGTTATAATAGTAATGATAGTAATTTATATTTATTTCTATTTTATGTATGTATTTATATTTGTGTTATAGTAGTAATTTATATTTTATTTATATTATTCATTTATATTTTATGTAATTATATATATATTATATATATAATGGTATATTTACTAAATATTTAATAGTCATCTTTTGCATTTCTATAAATATATGAATGCATTTACATTTATCATATATTTGTGTGCTTGTGTTATAATAGTAATAGTAGTAATTATTTATATTTTATGTATATTATTTATATTTTATGTAATTATATATATATATATATATGTATATTTGCTTAATATTTAATAGTAATCTTTTGTATTTCTATAAATATATGAATGCATTTACATTTATCATATAATATATATGTGTGCTTGTGTTATAATAGTAATAGTAGTAATTTAAATTTATTTATATTGTATGTATGTATTTATATTTATTTGTATTATTCATTTGTATTTTATGTATCTGTATATTAATATTTGTTATAGTATATTTATATATGTCATAATAATCATTTCTATATATATATTTAATATATGTATAATTTGTATGTGTAATAGGAGTAATTTATGTTTATTTATATTTTATGCATGTAAATATTAATACTTATTATGGCATATTTATATATGTATTAGTAATATTAGTATTTCTATAACTATATACATTGTACTTACATTTATACTATAATTTGTATGTGTTAAAGTAGTAATTTATATTTATTTATATTTTATGCATGTAAATATTTATTGTAGTATATTTATATATGTAATAGTAATCATTAGTATTTCTATAATTATATACATTGTACTTACATTTATAATAAAATAAATGTGTTATAGTAATTTATATTTATATTCATTTATATTTTATGTAATTATATATATTCATATTGATGGTATATTTATATGTGTAATAGTAACCATTAGTATTTCTATAAATATAGAAATTATATTTACATTTATAATATATATGTGTGTGATAGTAATTTATATTTATTTATATGTTATGTATGTATATATTCATATTTATGGTATAGTTCTATATGTAATATTAATTTTTGTATTTCTATAAATATATAAATTGTACTTATATTTTTAATATATACGTTATAGCCATGTCTAGTCCCTTTTAAGAGACAAAAAGATATATATATATATATATATATATATATATATATATATATACACACACACACACACACACATACACACACTCACACAGACACACATACAAATTATATATAGGTATATATAAATTTTTCTATGGCATATATATACGTGTGTGTGTATGTGTATATGTCATGGGAAAATACATGTGCTCTTTTTACAACTGATAGCACCAATAGGGCTTATTTGAATGGTATGCAAATACATTTACACTGATTGATATGTGTGTTATTGTGAGAATTTATATTTTTATACCTAGCAATAGTTTATGTTTATATTTGTCACACATTTAAATGTTATAATTAATAATATGTAGCATAAATATAATTATCAATTATTACTATAGATAAATTTTAATATATCATAAAGGATCTTGGAATCTTTTAAAATAGGAAAGTGGCATATAAATACGGTAAATACAATAATAATATATGCCCTTTACCAGCTAATAATACTAATGATGATTATTTGAAGAGTATGAAAATACATTTATATTGATTTATATATTATTATTAGAATGAATATTACTGGATGCTTTAGTTGTAGCCCATCTTTCTCCCGTTATGGGGACACAAGGCGGCTAACAGCAAACATGACACAATTAAAATTAAAAACAGAGAAAAGGCATTAGTAGATTAATACATTTTTTTTTTAAAAAAAGATTAAATCTTTTGTGTCATGGGACATAAAAATGTTAAAATACAATGGAAAATGTACTAATGATACATTTCCCCAAAAAGTAACAATATAATATAAAATATTATATAAATATTAATAAAAATTAAATAAATATTATAAAAGCCTGTCCCAAAAGCCAATAATAATAATATATTTTATATATGCATTTATATTTTATATGTAGCAATATTGTATGTTTATGATACATTTATATATATTTATTTGATTTAATCCATTACAAATAATAGAATGTAATTATTTTTAGTTATTAATGGTTTTAGGTGATTTTTAACCATTTGTTTTGACTATTTTATGTTTAGTTCTAATATAATGTTTACATGTTGAAAGTTTTGAATTGTAATTTGTATTGTTTTTAGTGGTGTGAACTACTTTAAATCTTGTTTAAGAGAAAAAAAAAGTATTATCAGTAACAATAATAATTGCAAAATAGTTGCAAAATAATTGCAAATAGTAACGAAATGATTTAATCAGGTACAAATTGCTTCTAAGTGACAGCTATGGTGCAAACTGGCTGTCCCTGCTCAACCATGCTGCGGTCGCATTGTCCAAGCGCAAAGTTGCAAACCTCACAGTTTTCTCTTGTTACTTTGTGACACTTTTCTAATCCCCTAAAGGCTTTTTTTTTTTTGGCGGACAGTGACAGGAATTAACATAATACACTCCAGAAGGTTAAAATGTTCAATTTATATACATTTTGAGGAGCATTCTGTATTTGAGACTTGCATTCTCCATTTTAACTAATTGGGTGAAAATAGGGAGGATTTTGAGAAAGGAGGTCCTTATTGAAAGGGATGGCTGCAATGCGTAGCTCAGCATATCCGTTTAAACTATTTGAACCAGCTTTAATCTCTCTCTTTAAATGGTCAGTTCTGTTTTTAGCTTCTTTAGAAGGATATTTTTTGTTTGTTGTACATTTTTCTGAATGTATTAGATTGGTTTTGTTGTACACTCTTCCTGAGATCTCTGGATAGATGGCGGGACATAAATATTTTAGTAAAATAAATATCGTTATGAGTGGAAATGTAAAGGGAGAAGACTTACATTTCCTGGAAAATGAGGTTTGAAAGTTTCCTTCTAGCCTCATGATATTGTGCTCCACAAATAAATTTTTTAAAGAAGTTACTTTATTTCAGTACATATAAAAAGAAGTCTTCTTGTGGCATCTTTAAACTAACAAATTGTTTTTTTTCTTGTGGCTTTTGTGGATGATACATTGATGGAATACAGTGTTCAGGCCTCAGGGGTATGTTTTTGTGTGTATATTTATATTTATATGTTTCCATAATTCCATGGCTGGAGGGTAAATTGGTTGTGGTAGACTGGTATTTTACTTCCCGTTGGAAGTAGTGGCTAACAATGTTATTTTAATCTATTAATTTTCTGTTTATTTATGTTTTTTGTGTCAAATCACCAACTTTGGAAGTGTTAAATCGATAAGCAGAATTTGTATTTAGTGCAAAAGTGTGTGTTTTGTTTGTTTGTGTTTCTGTATTTACAAATACATGTATAGCTGATTTAAAAACAAATATAACATGTTTGTTCTGGATTCCACAAGGATGCAGTTAACCACTAATTTATCTATCTAGCTATTTATGTATATGTACACATACATAGAGAAAGAGTGAAAGAGAGGGAGAAATACATTAACATTAGAGGATGTTCATAAGCAGAACATAATAATAAAAAATAGTTTCTGGCTTTTCTAGTTGCTGAAAACAAAACTAAAGTAGAGATTAGGTAGGAACTTGACTTACTCTGTTGCCAACATTTTTAAGTGGGTGATGATATTACGTTTTATCTTCAAGGCTGAGACCATTCATTGTTAAAGACTGAAATGTGTGGGCTTACAGTCCTCCCTTCCATCCAAAGTACTTGAAAGAGGGGGGACTTCAGTTTCAAACACTGACAAGTAATATACATGGCTGATGAAGGGTAAAATCTTTATTAGTCATGTATGTCTTTGACCTTGCT